AGAATTGGGAGATATGAACTCTCAATAGTGTTATAAAGTCAGAATTGGGAGATATGAACTCTCAATAGTGTTATAAAGTCAGAATTGGGAGATATGAACTCTCAATAGTGTGTTATAAAGTCAGAATTGGGAGATATGAACTCTCAATAGTGTTATAAAGTCAGAATTGGGAGATATGAACTCTCAATAGTGTTATAAAGTCAGAATTGGGAGATATGAACTCTCAATAGTGTTATAAAGTCAGAATTGGGAGATATGAACTCTCAATAGTGTGTTATAAAGTCAGAATTGGGAGATATGAACTCTCAATAGTGTTATAAAGTCAGAATTGGGAGATATGAACTCTCAATAGTGTGTTATAAAGTCAGAATTGGGAGATATGAACTCTCAATAGTGTGTTATAAAGTCAGAATTGGGAGATATGAACTCTCAATAGTGTGTTATAAAGTCAGATTTGGGAGATATGAACTCTCAATAGTGTTATAAAGTTAGAATTGGGAGATATGAACTCTCAATAGTGTGTTATAAAGTCAGAATTGGGAGATATGAACTCTCAATAGTGTGTTATAAAGTCAGATTTGGGAGATATGAACTCTCAATAGTGTTATAAAGTTAGAATTGGGAGATATGAACTCTCAATAGTGTTATAAAGTCAGAATTGGGAGATATGAACTCTCAATAGTGTTATAAAGTCAGAATTGGGAGAAATAAACTCGGAAATTGTTATAATGTCAGAATTGTGAGACATAAACTCTGAAATTTTTATAAAGTCATAATATAGTTATTACAAGTTATAAAGTCAGAATTGCAAGTCAGAATGACTTCTTTAAACTCGTAATTGTGAGATATAAAGACTCTATATCTCACAATTCTGAGAAAAGTCATAAAATAATGATAACAATTATTTCACATAATTTCTTGGCTCATTTGGGAACATTTTATTGATTTATTAATAATTTCCCCGACCCCAAAATATTTTTTTTTTGTCACAACAATGGTACATAATCATGGAGGAATAAGCCTCATACAATGCTCAGAGAGCAATACAATAATCACAAACCTTTTTAAAACATGTCAAGAAATCATTAAGTAAAATGGGAAAAACACTTGAAACACATTGATATATTTGATTTGATCCAGGCACAGGTGTGTATCATGTAGTGTGTCATGTCATATCATGCACTTCATGTAATGAGATTTCACTTCTTCAGCTCTTCTCTGCTGGGAAACAGAGGTGTACGTTACACTTTTTAAACATCACTTTGGGTGTTTTCTGAACATGCACAATAAAAAAAAAAAATAAAACCTGCCAAAAGGCTTCTCTACACCTTCACACACACACACACACACATATTTTTTATGTACAGTTCATGTCATTTTAAATAAGATTACTAAAGCAAATAATCCTGCCTTCTTCTCACACCATGTGCTCCTGTGACCATGTGTCAGAAAAGGAAATCGCACCTTCAAATGGTGCATGATAGTGACTCCCAAACCTTATCGGACTGTTCTTTGATACTTTTTCAACCATTCTAATTGGTTGCAATCATTTTAAAAAACATGTACTGAACATAGGCTTAATAATGGATTCATAATTAACCCTGTCCTGTAGAGGGTTAAACTCGCATTTGCTAAAAACAAGTCAAAATTACAAGTTTATATCTCGCAATTCTCAGGGATAAAAGGTCAGAATTGTGAGATAAAAAGTCGCAATTATCTTTTAAATTGTTTTATCCCATGGCGGAAACAAGCTTCCATAATTAATCATGATAAAATGCAGCTGTAATATTTCGTGGTATTAATAAGACTACAGCAAATACAGTTGCAATCGAGATTATTCAACCCCCATTGCAAAACAGATGTATTGGCACATTTACAGACTCTCAGCTGTTTCCAGTGAACAAATCAAACTAAAGTAATTGAAATGGCTCAACACAACAAATGTTTCATGTGAAAGAGCTTCTGAAAAAGCAACCTAAGCTAGTTATGCCTGCATGTTTTCGTGGATTATTATTGCATTCGACAGAAACACACCGCCCTGAAAATGTCTTGATTTATTTACAGTAACAGAGAGCATCTAATGTTCATTTGAAAGAGTGAAAATGCCTAGATGTTTGGTCAGACTGGTCAGTTTTGACATGTTTAGAGGGTTTTTGGGGAACTTGACGGATGGTAAGTCTAGCAAACCACCTTAGGCTGGTCTAGAAAGAGGAACTGTACCTTGTTCCTGTGGTCAACTATATTAGGTCTATCTAGATTAAACAGCTCTCACATCTGACATTGACTTCCACCATAATCTGACATCAAACACCTCAGATTTGCATGTAAACAAAACAAACCTTGAAAATGTTTTATGCAAAACAGTGCAGTCCTGTTGTTTTGTTGTGCTCTTCAAAAAACTCCTCCGTTCAGATCTAAACGAATGAAACAGGCCTGAAATAAGCTGGTGATCAATGTTAGGTTAAATCAAGCATCACAGTTACTATTACACTCTCTGTGGTGAAAATCCAGCGTTTAATGTTGTTTATGTGTCTATGTGGTGTTTTTAATACGCTCTAAGACACACCATGTGTAAGTTCATAAGTCGACAGCATTGCTGAGTATTTTCTGCTTAAAACTGCAGTGAACCAAAGACAGTCTCAAAAACAGGGTTTGAAATCGCTGGTGTTTCCGACGTCACAAACGTCTCCATTCTCCCTGAAGCACCTGCTGCCGTGAGAGCTCGTCGGCTGCACGGTTGAGCAGGCCCGGAATATGAACCGCACGAAGTGACCTCAGATGCTTCTGACTCCATAGGAGGAGATGGCGGGCGAGTTGTGACATGCAGCGGGACTTGTACCCAAGACTTTATACTGATATGCCCGCCCCTCAGAAGCAAAGCGAAGAAACAGTCTGTGTCGAGGGAGAATCGAGACATGAAAGTACTCAGGTCAGTACTCATTCAGGTCAATCGCTGAAAACCAATCTTGGGGAAGGATACACTTGAAAATGCGTTTCTGCTTAAGCAACTTGAACAATAGCCTGTGAATGGACCGGTTCAGGACACGCAGGTCCAAGATTGGTCGTAACCCACCGCCTTTCTTGGGTACAATGAAGTACGGGCTGTAGAAGCCGGTCTTCATATCGGCTGGAGGGCCCGGCTCGATCGCGTCCTTCGCCAGTAGGACAGCGATCTCTGCCCTGAGCACAGGGGCATTGTCCGCCAGAACACGGGTGAAATGAATGCTGGGGGGCGCCGGGCGAACTGAATTGCATAGCCGGATGAGTCAGCGAGACGGGCTGGGAAGCGCTAGCCAGGCTCCCAGACACTGTGCAAGCAGGATCAACGGCACCACAGACGTACCCACGGTGGGGCAGCGTGGAATTCAGGGAATCGACTCGGACGGCATAGTGGCCCGGTGTGGGTCTGAGAGTATGGTGGAACACGTACCTGCTTCTGTCGAGGGACAGAGTGAGTGTGTGGAGGCCTTTTGGGTGCATCCAGAACACTGCCACTGGTGCTCTCTGGCGATAGAAGAGGGGCCTTAGGGTGACAAGGCATAGCGTCATACACCGCCAAGCGTGCCCTCTTGGCACCCAGAAGTTTCAGAAACTTATTTTTTATTGAAATTGTGGGTACCACTGGACAGTGGCGGAACAAAAAGAAAAGGAAACAAAATATTCTCCACCTGGCCCTCCTCCGGGGGAAGGAGCAGACGGAGGGTCTGCGGCCCGCGAACGGGTAGAGGCAGCAGCAGTCCGCTGGGCCAGGATGTGCCGGATGGCCTCCGTCTGCTTCTGGGCAGCCGAGAACTGTTGGGCGAAGCTCTCGACTGCATCGCCGAATAACCCAACCTGGGAGAGGGGGGAGTCCAGGAAACGATATTTATCGGTCTCCCTCATGTCCACCAGGTTGAGCCAGAGGTGGCGCTCCTGGTCCACCAAGGTGGACATCGCCTCACCAACTGAACGTGCAGTTTCCTTCGTCGCCCGGAGGGGGAGGTCGGTTGCCGCATGGAGCTCCCGGAGGAGCTCTGGATTAGAACCACCCTCATGCATGTCCATGAGCGCCTTGGCCTGGTGGACCTGCAGGAGCGCCATGGCATAGAGGGTGGAAGGAGCCTGTCCATAGGCTCTGTAAACCTTCGTCGTTAGACCAGACGTAAACTTACAGGCTCTGGACGGGAGGCGTGGATTACCCCGCCAAGAGGAAGCGGACGCCGGACACAGTTGCATTGCGACAGCACGCTCCACTGGCGGGATATCCACATACCCCTTAGCTGCTCTGCCATCGGGGGTGATCCCAATTACGTTGAACGTGACCGACTGAAAGGGAACCACTGCTCTAGGGAACCCCTCCCAAGGCACAGAGGACATGCTGGTGAGTCATTCCTACCCCAGATTTGGAGATTTGCCGGGCTAGGAAGGACATCATAGACTGCTCTGACCAAGAACTTGATCCGCTGTGGATCTGCTTGCCAGATCTCGGTCCAAGAGATGATCTTCTCCAGCGCACCCTCCCACCTCTGCTGCCGCATGCCCACCAGCAGGTCCTTTCCTCTTCAGCGCCTGCCCACACCTCCTCCAGGACTAGCTGGCGTCGGTCCCTACCATGGGCCTCATATTTTCATAATGTCTTGTGCCGTTAAACATGGCATCACGTGGATGAATATGCATGCATATGCAAATGAAATGCAGATGAGGATATACATAGTAAAACGAGGCGTGGAAAGCTCATATATGGTAAGTTTGGGATGGAGACGCATACGCGCACAATCTTCCACTGACTGGGATTTATAGCGGGATTTAGCGCTGGTACTGGCACACGCACAGGTTCATAAGTCAGAATATTTTTTGCCGTGCACCATTTTTGCCTTCCGGGCACACGTACACTTTTAGTAAGAATCCTACGCACAGTTTTATAAATGAGACCCCAGATCACTGAAATATTATTTGAGGAACCAAAAATGGTTGTACTATGTGATATGAACAAACCCATCATTTTCTCTCTCTCTCTCTAGCATTGGCAGCGCTCTTCGGGATCCTGTACCTGTATGGCCGGTATCTGTACTTCCATGGCTATGCGGAGTCGGCTCAGGGCAGGTAAAGCACTGTGTGTGGTCAGTAATGTTGATGTTGGTGTGTGTGGTCAGTAATGTTGGTGTGTGTGTGTGGTCATTAATGTTGGTGTGTGTGTGTGTGTGTGTGTGTGTGCTCACCTGTCTCTGTCCTCTGTTAGGCTGGAGCCGCTGTACTTCAGTGCTAAGATGCTGTGGGCTCTGATCGCTCAGTCCGGGCTGGGTCACTTGGGTGTCGTCTGATGTGTGTGTGTGTGTGTGTGTGTGCGCGCTCACCTGTCTCTGTCCTCTGTTAGGCTGGAGCCGCTGTACTTCAGTGCTAAGATGCTGTGGGCTCTGATCGCTCAGTCCGGGCTGGGTGTCGTCTGATGTGTGTGTGTGTGTGTGTGTGTGTGTGTGTGTGTGTGTGTGTGTGTGTGTGTGTGTGTGTGTGTGTGTGTGTGTGTGTGTGTGCGTGCTCACCTGTCTCTGTCCTCTGTTAGGCTGGAGCCGCTGTACTTCAGTGCTAAGATGCTGTGGGCTCTGATCGCTCAGTCCGGGCTGGGTGTCGTCTGATGTGTGTGTGTGTGTGTGTGTGTGTGTGTGTGTGTGTGTGTGTGTGTGTGTGTGTGTGTGCGTGCTCACCTGTCTCTGTCCTCTGTTAGGCTGGAGCCGCTGTACTTCAGTGCTAAGATGCTGTGGGCTCTGATCGCTCAGTCCGGGCTGGGTGTCGTCTGATGTGTGTGTGTGTGTGTGTGTGTGTGTGTGCGCGCTCACCTGTCTCTGTCCTCTGTTAGGCTGGAGCCGCTGTACTTCAGTGCTAAGATGCTGTGGGCTCTGATCGCTCAGTCCGGGCTGGGTGTCGTCTGCTCCCTCACACACGCCTATCTGGGACTGGACCTGATGCACTCCTTCACTCATCTACTGGGCCTGACTGAACACACATGAACAACAAGCAGCAATATAAAACATTTATATATCAAATATAGGATGTTAATTAGTGTTTTTTTTCTACTGAGAATGTCCAATAGTGGAAGTATACATCTCACAGGAGAATTATGTTTTGTTTTTGTATCCTAAATACATTTAAATATTTATTTTGTGTAATTTTACACAAATTACAACTTGACCAGAATTGGCCCACAATAAAAATATTCGGCTTCCAAGTGATATTTGGTAATATTTAGTATGTTTTCTTCATACATCACTTCTCATATTTACTCTCAAGCTATTCACTGAAATAATAGATAGATAGATAGATAGATAGATAGATAGATAGATAGATAGATAGATAGATAGATAGATAGATAGATAGATAGATAGATAGATAGATTAGAAATAATATATAGACAGAGATAGATAGATAGACAGAGATAGATAGACAGAGAGATGGATAGATAGAGAGATAGAGAGATGGATAGATAGATAGATAGATAGATAGATAGATAGATAGATAGATAGATAGATAGATAGATAGATAGATAGATAGATAGATAGATAGATAGATAGATAGATTAGAAATAATAGATTGATGGATTGATAGACAGATAGATGGATGGATGTTAAATGCATGATATAAAAAGTTTAAATCTGTTACTACAAAATATGTCAAGATTCAACTTTTTTCCATAATCATTTAATCTCAGTATATTTTGATAAATATGTTTTCTTTGTGTTTATGTTTAAAGGCATGTATTTCTAATCTGTTAGCATTTGTAAACTGTAAAAACTAGAATGTTGTTTGACAGACTTCACACAAAAATCTCTAAATCCTTTAGTGTTTGACTGAACTGTTCTGCATCTGTGGACAGTGTTTCGCATGTTTGACCACTAGGAGGCGCTACAGCTGAGTAGATCAGTGTCTGTCAGTAAAGACTAGATCAATGTGAAGTCTTTATTCCCTGCTGCTAGTGTTGGATGAAATACCATAAAGCAGAGACACTGGAGGCCGTGCTGTGTTGATGGACATCTGCCAACATATAGAAACCCTTGAATGAGGCTTTGCTTCTGTACATCAGGATCACTAAAACTACCATTCCTGGTGGGGAAAGATTGTGTTAAAGATTATAGGACCAGTTTTAAATAAGCTTTGTTATTTCACAATCTGATTTTCTCCCTTTAAAAAAAAAAAAAGCATGAATTAATAAATAATTTTATAAAGAGTAATGCTATTTATTAAAAAAGTTCTCTCATTTTCCTTTTAAATTAAGCTGAAGTGTACGCTGTGTGACAAATGCTAACCAGCTGCGCATTTGGACCAGACCTGCATGAAATGAAAGGTTAATCGAAATTAGTCTTGGAAAACACATTTATTAGCTATTGTCTTTGTTTCGTGACACAATAAACATGTTAAGAAAAAGAAACACACAAATGCACAGACACCATGAGCACATTACTGGATGTCTGACTATTGCCTGGCTATCTTTGTCTTCTAAACTACTTTTAACTCTCGTATTTTGTATAATTTTGGCAAAACTTTCATGTCCCCCAGAACATTTTGTTGTGTGAACATCTGCACATAAAATATAGAGCCTCTGCTTTTAAACATTTTATTCTAGCTCTATGTATTCTTTTTTTTATCAACACTTTAATGTGGGTAAGTTTCATGAAAAATCAACATTTTGAGCAAAAAGCTGAGAAAATCGCATTTCCTCAAAGACTACGTCTAGATCGGATTCAGTTCGATGATCAAAACACAGATGAAGTAGATCGAGTCCATCAACCCCCTTAAAGCTTCATTCGTTTCCTTTATCAGTATCAAGGTAAACAGTCGCTCTCAGGAATCATACCGTAGCACTGATAAGGTAGGTATTGTAGCGAACGGAGACAATGATAGGACCTCAAGGGAACAAACAAAGTCCCTGAACCGTCTCGGTTGCCCTTCTTGTGTAACTGAAGCCGGGCTATATGATGCATCTCAAGAGGCTTTCTCTTGAAGAAGAACTTTCAACAACTATATATGAATGTGAGGTTTGCAGCTCAAGAACTGGTGTGGCTGCATGTGGGTCTGCCAGAGGACTGGAAGTGCTCGACTGGGGTCCTGGTCCACCCTCCGGGGTAGGTACGACTGTAGAGGAGGCCGGTGCTGGTGCTTCCTCTATAAGGTGCCAATCTGTCCCGCTGCACGGCCACCTTCCTACTCTTCGAGGCAACTGACCTCGGTAAACAACTTCTCCGATTCTCTCCAGAACACTGCACATGGGGTCAAGTTTAGGGCGCCTGCCCTTCTTTCTCTGAGGGCTGTACACCCACACCAGCTCTCCCGCTGTGAAATGCCACCCATTTGCCTTCAGGTCATAATTTCGCGGGTCCCCGCTTTTAACAACTGCTTCCTTGCAAAATGATGAGCGGCTTCCAATGAGTCCTGAAGCTTCCTAGCATACTCAGGGCCCGGGGGCAAAGCAGGCGCATCAGGTGGCCTCCCGAAAGACATTTCCACAGGTGTTCTGATCTCCAGCCCCAACATCGAAAGGGCGGGTGTGCAAGAGGCTGAGTCTTGCACAGCGGATCGGCACGCCATTAGGATAAATGGCAAGTGCGTATCTCAATCTCGCTGATGCTTGGCAGACACAATGGCCAGCTGTTCTGCCAGTGTCCTGTTAAACCTCTCAACGAGACCATCACTTTGGGGATGCAAAGGGGTGGTCCTTGTTTTGGGAATCCCTAATTTTCCACACATCACAGAGAAGACACGCGACTCAAAATCACGGCCTTGGTCGCTGTGTATGGATTCTGCAACCCCGAACCGGCTAAACATGCCATCCACCAACGCGTTCACCACTGTCTCGGCTTCTTGGTCAGGCAGTGCATAAGCTTCTGGCCATATAGTGAAATATTCCATAGCCATCAGCACAAACCTGTTACCCCTCTCCGAACATGGAAAAGGACCCATTACATCTACCCCCAGTCTCTCCATTGGGCCTCCTACGGGGAACTGTTGCAGGGGAGCGAGGGACTGGACAGACGGGCCCTTGTGGGCAGTGCAACCATTTCAAAGGTCGCTGCTGTGTTTGGACCCACTGGATTACTGGCTGCAGGTCCGCATCTTCCTCTTGCAGCCGCCTCCAGTACTCCCAGTGTCCCCACCGTCAAACTTATCACCATGCTTACAAACCATAGAAGCCCCACTGGCATCCAGGTCCTCCAGCTCTTTTTCCCTGGCTTCTCTTTTGTCACAGTAACGACACCCGTCGGCAAAGCATGGCCAACGAGAAAGAGCGTCTGCGTTTGTATGGCCTGACCCTGGATGGTGTACTACTCTCATGTTGTATGCCTAAAGTTCCTCAATCCAGCGTGCCAGCTGTCCCTCTGGCTCTTTGAATGACATTAGCCATTGGAGAGCTGAATGATCAGAGCGTACAGTGAAAGGTAGCCCGCACAGGTAATGCTCAAAGTGTCGGACTGCAAAAAGCACCGCAACAAGTTCCCGTCTGGTGAAACAGTATCTGTGTTCGGCCTTGTTGAACGCTTTGCTGTAGTAGGCAACAACTCGTTTACCCCCAAACCCCGCCTGATAGAGAACCGCCCCCATACCCACATTATTGGTGTCCGTGTCCAGAATGAAGGACAGTGCCAGGTCAGGGGGGACCAATACAGGGGCTGTGACCAGAGTCTCTTTCAGGGCAGCAAAAGCCCTGGAAAAACCATGCACAAACCTCCTGTAATATAAAAAAATTTGCGCTGCTGTGAGGTTGTAGGAGTGGGCCAGTTGCTTACCACCTGCACCTTCTCTTCTATCGTGCCAATCCCCTTGCCCCCAGCTTGTGCCCGAAATGTCACCTCCCTCCTAAACAAATGACATTTATCCGGGTGCAGCTTCAAGCCAGACTCGCTTATGCGAACCAGCACACGCCTTAGAGCCTCCATGAGGTCTGAAATGATCTGCCATGGACCAGGATGTCATCCAGGTACACCAGACACTCTGACCGCGGAATACCCCATAACACCCTGTCCATCAACCTGGCAAAAGTGGCTGGTGCATTGCAGAAGCCAAAGCAGAGCACCCTGAACTGCCATAGCCCCCTGCTCGTACAGAAAAACAGTTTTCGGTCTGGCATCAGGAGCAAGTGGTACCTGCCAATAACCAGTGCGCAGGTCCAGTGAAGTGAACTATGACGACCCAGTTACAAGGTCCAGTGACTAATCCAAACGAGGGATGGGGTAATTCTGTCAATGGTAGGGAAAGAGTTAAAAATCAAATGGAGTAACATAGTTTCAGAATTGAAACTAGTTAAAAAGAAAAGAAAAAAACTCAATGGGAAAGTCAGCAAATGCATGTGCTGCTAAAACTAGGAGTGCATTCACGAGCTTCAGCCAGACTGATGTTAAAACGTTCAGTAAAGCTGGAGATGGAGGTAATGGTGAACATGTGTCTGTTTACAAGAGGAACTGAAGGAATTAATCGAGGCTTTCATGTTGCATGAAAGAGAGCACTGCACATCTGTGGGACTGTGCCACTGACTCTAGTGTAATGATGAATTGTGTCCACTGGTCACATGGGTCAGCTGACGATAGCAGACACCCCCCTCAGATCAAGATCAACGTGATTAGGGATTTTAATAATAAAATATGCCATTTAGAAATGACATTTGCCAAGTCCATTGTCTTCCTAATGTAAATACTAAAGGGTTAGTTCACCCAAAAAAGAAAACTCTGTCAGTAATTACTCTCCCTCATGTTGTTCCAACCCCGTAACACCGTGTCCTAACCAGACGTGATGCGATAAGATTCCAGCGACATACTTTGTCTGTCCACACTACTAGACGCGACTGCGAGATACGTCGACATCAATCAAAACCCACAGCCAATCAGAACAGCGTGTGGGCGGAGTCTCGCGGCGAGTGCACGGCACCAGAGAGTAATCTTGACGGCACTCGCGAGAAAATGGATAAGTACATAATCAAATTCACAAATATTACACCATTTAAACATTATTAAAAACACATAGGCTACTGAGTTACTAAAACAGTCTTTGTCGAAGAATACACTTGTTTGTTCACAGTTTGAACGTTCTTGTTCCATTTGTTTAATTTCAAGATCTGAGGTGAATTATCCATTGTTGCTTTTACAGCTGCAAAGCTGGAGAACTAACTAAAGGATTTTCAAAGTCACATTACACGCTTTTAACATTCAATAAAGCACATAAACAGTACATGAGATTATCATTGCCA